TTGTTGTTGTTGTTGTTGTTGTTGTTGTTCTTTTGTACTCAATAGCGCAATTTCCTCCTTTTCGGCAGCGAAAAAGCTACACGAAACTGGACGGACACCGATTTGTCTTGTGAATCCACTCCATTTCCTTTTCTTTTTCCCTCTACACTGAAAGACACACAAGAAAGCTAAACTAAAGAAGAGCTCCAAAATGATGACGAATTTTTCACTCAAAAGGAAATCTGCTCTATTCATGCAGTACGTCACATATTTTGGATGAAATTCAACCCTAATTTTTCGATTCCTCTGTTGTAATAATATTCGTCAAACTCATAGGATTTCTTCCTAAGAACATTTCAACTAATACCAAAAAAACACCTTTACAAATGTAAAAATAATAGATTGTTGACATGCAGGTGTTTGCGATTGTCTTCCGCCTCGTCAGGAAGGCGCATTCACTACGAATTAAGAATGATTTATCCGTTTTCTCAAAGAAATAATGGCATTAATTCCCATTGAACTGCGTGTCATTAAATCGTTCAATTTTTTTATTCAACCTTTTTAAAAATAGTAATTTTTTGTATAGGCCATTGTTAGGCGGCCTTTCCGTTAAAAGTTCTTTTTAGCTGGGACTGCGCGTGGCTTTCCCATTTCAGACTAGGTGTCATTGTCTACAAAAAATCTACAAAGCTTTTCGCTATTGTATCACAGCGTGGGACAATCACAACAGAACTAGGCTCCAACTATGCGAAAGTCCAAAGATCTAATTAGGATTTAGAATTTGATAATTGATTTTTAAGGAGGGAGGAAAACCGGAGAGCCCGGAGAAAAACCCTCGAAACACAGGAGAGAAACAACAAACAACTCGACACCGAGATCGGCAGGACTCGAACTCGGGCCGCATTATCAGCGCACGCCACCGGTGCTTCCCTGAGATTGTCTTGAGAAGAAGATTCTTTGTTTGAGTTGTATCCATATGAAAATGTCTTTTCATGCGCAAGCGTTAAACAAAGAAACCATGCTCTAGAGCTTTGGTCTGGAATAGGAAAACCCTCTGTTCCACCCCACCCCCATGTATTTATTCCAAGCAATCAAAATACTGTACGTAAATACTATAGAAACCTCCGCGCCATTTCATAACATAGAGAAAAGAATGTGCAAAAGAGACTAGCTGACGGGCGAGGATCCGATGGAGAGCATTGTAAAATCTAAAGCCCTGCACGATGAGGATGCTTCATTGGCTACAAGGTAACAGCCAACCCGTTTAACTTACTGGAGCGATCAAATCTTTTTTGGACATAAATCCGTTTTTACGTGTCATTTACCACTTTAGTTGCAGACGTCCTCCTAAATAGAATTAATTTAATAGATATTGTTGGTTTTCACATCAGCCATGTTGGATGAATTTAACAAAAGATTCGTATTCGTATTATTATTAAGTATTATTATAGATGACATCCCTCGTATTTGATAAACAACTTCTACGTACGTTTTGTATGCGTTTCATTTGATCAGTACAGCAAATTAGAACAATGCGTATAATTTAGTGACGTCTATGATAGTCTTAATATACCGATTAGAGAGGTAAAGTGAGATCTTTTACTGCGTTTAAGTATAATGTTCAGCCAAACGATATTACAAAAAAAAAAAAAAAAAAAAAAAAAAGATTATTCTAATCCTTGATTTGAGGGTTTAATTTCTCCGGGTTGTCCTGTCATTCAAAATCGTCGCTATATAGAAATTTCTGATATATATTTTTGGTTTGAAAATCTTCTAGCTCAAAATAAAATTAAAGCAATACCGCCTCCATTAGGCTAAATCTTTTAATCCCACATAAACGCGCTCAGTCGGCGACGTTTAAGAACACAACCGTCAAGCAGTGTAATTGAACATTTTTTTAAGAAATGACGGTTTTGAAGTGAACGAGATAGATTTCAGGATAACATATGGCCGGTGTATAGGCCAGGACGTCAAAAATGATTTTCACACAAAAAGCACTTAAATTATTATAAATTCTCGTAGAAACGGATATTTTATATAAAATTTAACGCTGATTCCTCGGGTTCCTTAGCTTGCTTCTCTCTTTCTCTACAGCTTCCAGCTTCCAGCTTCCAGCTTCCAGTGTGTAGTTTATATCACAATACAGAGACCTGCGCGCGTAGTTTTCGAAAGAAAAATGGCGGAAACCAAAAATTTAAAGAGCCACGGAAGTAATTTTATCAGGACATACTTTACACTTTACACTTTACACTTTACACTTTACACTTTACACTTTACACTTTACACTTTACACTTTACAC